TTAAGAAATAATAAAAAAAATATTATTAGATATATGTTAATCCGATTGGACAATTTAAAAAACCATTTTTATAATGCAAAAATAATTCTAATAATCATTACTTTCATAATATTTTTGATACACAAGTTTACAAAGCAGTTGAAAGAAGAAAAAAAAAATGGCGAAATTATTCAGATTGACGGTGATAAGGTATTATATAAATATGATTCATTGATGGTTTTCTGAAATATAGTTCCTCACTAAACTTCCAAACAAGCGTCTAATACGTATCCTTCCAACAATGCCTTTAATTCAACAACTACAACACCATTCAGAATTCTTGGATACACAACGAAAGAAACATTCTAACATACTAAAAACTTGTAGCCAAGAAAAAAACACCGAATTTCACTTCTCAGCTCACAATCATCCCAACCCCTCAGCTCTGTACTTTACTCCTTCTTGTTTTCTGGTTTGCTGTCCTGTCTTGATGAACCACTCGAGTCGTCAATAGTAGTACACAAGGTAGTCGAAGAAAACAAAACATCGATAACAAAGTTGCTGAATGAATTGCAGCGCTGATGCAAATTATCGTAAAATAAATAAAAATTATTCATTGAAAACATGCGCATGACGTAATGTATATATGTATCGATACAGATATTGGAGATATCCGTATTTTAGTTTCATATTATAAGTACCAGGAATTCAGAAACGTAACTGTAAGTGGCCAACATTTTTTGCAAGAACTTACATTTTGATGTTGTTCCAAAAAATATTGTTCCATTTTATGATTATATTTAACATGAAGTTTTCATATGATCCTGCTAGGTCGTCTGTAGTCTAGTGGTTAGTGAATAAATTTATAATTTCGCTCTCTCAACATTATTTTCTTATTCTATGAAGTTTAAGTAATGACGTCACACTCTTCCGTTATCCTCCTGTCAACTTCTTGGATATCGCCGATCCAGCGAAGATAGGAAGCCGTTATGAACCCACCCTCGGACCGGACAACCGGTTCTCAGTCCAGCCTCCTCAAATACATTAACTTCTTAATAGTATCCTGCAGCTCTGGAAGCCCTTTTAACTGGTTTTGGCTGGTTCTAACTGCTTCAAACTGGACGACTTCCATAATTGCTGGGCTTAAATGCAGGACTGAATGGTTGTATTTCTTAATTACGTTTAAAGAAATATCTTGAATATAACGTTTTTTTTTTTTTATTCATTTACTATAAGAGTTGTGTCGAAAAATTTTGTTTTATCTTGTTGAACATTAATTTCTTCACCTTCCATGGTCAACGTAATACCTTTACAGGATAGTCACAACCAGTCAGCAAACCTTTCCCTACCAGCAAAAATGCCTAATACTCTCTAAGATACTACGGTATTATAAAAGTCAGTGTAGCTGATACTTAACATATATTGAATAGCGGTTTGGGCCATATTATCTTCAGCTATAATTTTGCTATAGTCCAATTAACGAATACGGGATTTAGTTTTGGGAGGGGGGGGGATAGCTGGTAGTAGGGCACTGAACTTCTAATGCTTCTGGCCCCAGGTTCGAACCCCAGCTTACGGCAGAAAAATTATTTATTCTGTTTCATCAGCAGGCTATCCTGGGTAAGGGAGACCCTCCTAGGGCACACCCAGCACCTACAAAGTGGGTACCCTTAGTTAAAATAATTAATTAAGGGGGGGAAACCAGGCGGTTGAGCGTGATCCTGGCCCGATCTCTTCCTTGCACAACTGTTGGCCTTGAAACAGTCCTTTCTCCAAATAGTATTTAACCCAAGCCTCTTCATGAGTTGTAGTTTTTTTTTTTTTTTTTTTTCAATAACGATGATTACAATTAAAGAAAAAGAAAGAAACTAACTACTTATATGAAATGGTGTTTAAGTGATTCTTGAAATCCTATTAAATGTAATTACACGAACAATAATAGAATTAGAGATAATTTTTTTTAATTTTTTTTTCCTACGACATGCTAATATTTTACCATTTTGGAGGGGGGCTTCAGCTCGAAAGCCTCCTATCCGTAAATCCGCCTGGAAATAGGCCCATCAAGAAGGATCATTGAAGTCTCCAACAAAGTGCATATTAAATATATATTTAAATACCTTAGTCGTTCTTTTCATTTATTTCTTTTTCATTAATCAATTGTGGAAGTTATCTTAAAATGTATTACTATTTAATGTCATTATTCGTTCATACTTTTGTTAACTTTATTTTACCCTCCTTCTAAAAAATAAAAAGAATATATCATTATTAATTTTTTAACCAAGCAATTATTAATTATATTTTTTATATATTTAGTAACAATCGTAAATTGATTTGTGTAATGACGTATTAATTAGGATTTTAAGAACATTCGTACCTTTCTACTAGTTCTCATTTTTTGTACAAATAATAAAGTATTCGATTTATTTTGTTTTCAAAGAAAGGGTTCTGTCTATTTGTTTGTTTTCTAAGCTAAAGGATTACGCAAACTACGCGTTTAATATAGGTTACGATTATGTCATCATCGTCTTAAATGATATAATATATTATGATGATTAATAGTGATATCATCAATGAACTGCATTTTAATCAGCATTATCAAGTGTTGCTTATGATCTTTTAACCTCTCTATGAAAAGCGCATTAAACTGTTTTGATTTCACTGAATCGCGATATAGTTAATAATTGCTTTTGTGTAATTTCATTGAAATTTTCCAAATTTAAAATAATAGAATTATATAATCGACACCAATAAATTTGATTTAGTCAAATAAATATTTACAAATCAGGTTATAATGTATACTTTTGGAATTCTCTCATTGGTTTTTGGAAAATTGACTAAGTAGTACGTAAAGTAGTACGTAAGAATCAAAATTAACAAACAAACCGTTCCAAAAATATGACGAGTATTTTTAACTTTAACTAAAAGGACAAATTATTTTTGTTTTATGTTAACAAGTATTTAATCAGCATTTACTGTATTTTCTGCATTATTATTTTATTTTATTTTTTTTATATGAATATGCTCAAAATACATCTAATTAGTTGGCCCGTCCGAATAATTCGCGTAATGGTCACTGAACAAATAGAAGAATAATATAGAAATAAGCTGATGCTTTACATTATGATATAAGGGAATTTTTACTTTCACTTACGTATATATGTAATATATAGGAAGGGTATACATTAGTCCCCCACCCTGAGTTCAAATAACCAAATCCCGCAAAATGGTCTCTGTGTGTGTTAAGAGACTAGCTCAGAAACTAAACAAAAGTGAAATTGCATATTTAAAGTTTTTATATGATAGCGATGATACAGATTTTTTTTTCGTCAATATGGACTAAACACATTTTTACGATTTTCTCAAAAACGGCCCTAACGATTTTAATTGAATTCGCCATGTCAGTGTAAAATTAAATAGTTTTAAATAAAATGTAGTTTTTATTCCGATTGATGTTCTCTAATAGGGCTTAAATGGCTAATTTTCAATATTAGCTTCCCCTAAAGAACGTTTAATTATTTTTATTTGATAAAATTGACCATTTCATATTAATCTTTAATATAAAAAATAGTTAAATATAAAATATGAAAGAATTTGATGATTGAATAAAAGAAAAATAAGAGATCGTAACGAACAATAGTAGTAATTGAGGAACCAAAGGAATACTAGCGCAACCAGGCTCGCCCGAAAGGTTGGAACACGCTTCCATACGTAATATGAGCTTAATATAATACAGACTCCGAGAATATTATATAAATATACATATGTGGTTTTCGTAAATGATATTGGTGGTATTATTTAATATTTGATTGTATAGATTACAGCGATATAAATATTAAAATTTGTATATATAAGGGAACAAATAAAAATAACCACAATGAAATATATATAAACATAGCGTATATAATTTTCCTAACCAAAAAGTTAATTTGATGCATGATCCTATCTCGAACGGAAAAGGAGTTAAGACAAATTTTGTGTCATTCTTAAATAACATGTTTTTTATTGAATAAGAAGGAATCGCTCAAAAACAGTTCAAGATAATTAAATTCTAAGTACACCATCTTAAAGTAGACAAATTTTACATTAAGAAAACAGTAATTCATTAAGATCAATGATAAAAATTACTTTCAGGAAATCTAATACGACAGCTGTATTGCAGCTTACGAATCGGGAATAAAGAGATATGCTGCTCTTGTATGGGTACAGCGGCTGTATTAGATCTCCTGAAAGTCTCTTTTATCATTGACCTTAGTAAATTTAATCACTGTTTTCTCAATGAAAATTATTTCTACTTTACGATGGCGTACTTAAAATTTAATTGTCTTGAACAGTGTTTGACCAATTCCATTCAATAAAAAACGTGACCACTTTAAAAAAACAAAATTAAAAAAAAACAAAAACAAGTCTAAACTCCTATTCCGTTTAGGAAAAACGATATTTCCGTTGGGAATCGAACCATGCATCACATGAAATGTTTTATTGGTAATTTTGTCTAGAATCATGCACCAGAGTTTGGTCATTTGAAACTGAGATACCCTGTACAGTACGGGATTCAGTTTCTCGAATTCCTTTGAATTTGATTTCTCATTCTTCAAAATCTATCTCTCCTAAGAGCCGGGAAAGGGATCTAAATAGAATAATATTATACAATATGAGGTTTTAAATTGACAGAATGATTAAGACCAATTTAAACATTTTTTAGTAAAGTCATTTTAGTGATATTTCCAGAGAGAATATTTATACCTTTATTCATAGTTCAATAATTTCAACACTGCAGTCACCTACTCTGAAATCAACTTACTCAGTATCTGTACAAATTTTATAATTTTTTCAACTAGAAATATCACTAAAATGACTAATCAAAAATGTTGTAATTGGAGCTTATTAATCTATCAATTGAAAGCCTCATGTATAGTTCAAGTAATTCAACTATATATCAGCGTTCATGTTTGAACAATAGATCCGATTCGTATCATCAACAAATTTTATTTAGGAAATTAAATAAGATACAACAAACATCCTAAATTATTATATTTCAATATTCGAACATGAAATAATAGCATTACTCAGTAACTACCTATTCGATTAATCGACGTACTCCACCTAGATCAGACTGCCTTGGAGAATCCGAGACCTGCCCGCCTCTGGGTGTGAGTCACCATCCTGGCAGTTTCGTACTCAGCTTCCATCTTCTTGAACAGTACTTCTTGCTTCTTCAGACAGCTCCCTCCGGCGACCTCTGGAACGGACTCCTTCATACCCATCAGCCGTTGAAACTTAGCTGTCGTCCTACCGTCACCGAACTTGGCGTCCACCCAGTTGTTCCCCGTCGACTTGGACCAGAGCACCTTCTGCGAAGTGCGTTCTGGAAGGTCCAACCGAATCCCCAGCTTCGCCAGTACTGAAAGCTTCTCCCTACCTTTGTCGCGGATGCTCCTATCAACGCAATCTTGTTCCCGCTTCTTCTCGGAGTCCTTGTAATCTGTGTTCCTTGATGGACTCCTACTCCTACTTCTAGATTTTCTCCTATCGTTACGCCTCCACTCCCGTCCTCTGTCCTCCTTTCTTCCCAGCCGATATTTATCCATGACGTTCGATATTTTAAGTATCTTCCCAAGAAACTATCGGCGACATTCGTTAGCCAGAACTAGTTTTAACCAACACCATAAATAACAAACATTATGTAACAACAACATATGTTAATCTCAATCTGCCTACATATGATTTCATCATCTATAAACAATCAGGAATACTAACCTTAAAGAAGAAAAATTTGAATATTTCAAATGCAATATTGTAGGCCAATACACCGTGCCACCGTAATGTTACTCATGAAACAAATAAAACTATTAGGTCATTTCAAAATGTCCTTTTTTATTATATCAGAAATTCAAAGAGGAATTGGTGAAATTTTGAGGTTTACGACGTTGATGCTTACAGATTATAATGAGCTGTTGTTAATCCTCTTCTTTTAAAATAATATTTACTATCATTTCAATTGATTGTTCATTGTTTAGTATGTCATTAAAAATGACCATGAAAACGCGCGACTTCCGAATAATTTTTTTAATGAGTTTAAACTTAAAAACTCGGCAGCCCATGGTGGAAGAATGTACGCTGTCCGTACCTTGGAAGATAGTACGGAATGTTGTTGTAACAAACGGACCATTCGCCGGTAGTTTGAAAAAAAGTGTACCATTTCATCTTTTTTGTTCATAATGATTATCCTAAATGAACTAAATGTCCCAGATTACCAAAAAAAATTATTCGTTTCTGTATGCTGGTCAATGGCAGGAATAATTCATTTCTCCTTTTTACTCACAGGCGAAACCATCACACTCACATCTTACTGCAGTAATATTGACATAATTAGAAAAAAGAAAAAAAACATGCATTGGTTGATAGGAAGGAACTATACTCTTACACGGCAACGCGATATCTCATGTTTCACAACAGTGAAGAAACTAAACGAGATGTGTTACGAAGTCCTTCCACACTAACCTTATTCACCAGACTTTTATCCAATAGATTTCCATCTGTTCAGAAATTTGGGCTACTTCCTTAAAAGTAAAATTTTTGAAAACAATTCTCATGTCAAAAACGCTGACTTAATTTCTTCAGAAAATCCTGAAATTTTCAGTTACCTGGATATTGGTAAAAATGGTTGAATAAATGAATAGTTCAATTTATATTACATTGAAAACAATAATTTATTTTAATCTATAAACATCCTATTAATATGTTCTTTTTCTTGTTGTTATGTTATGTTTTTGTTCTTTTCTTATGCTATGTTTCTTGATGTGGGGGTGTTTGGCGGCTACTGCTGTAGGAAATCTTCACTTTATAATTGAAATAATTTACATGGTATAGTGGATAAACATGTTCACATAGACATTTTGAGAGGAAATTTAAAAGAAATTGCGGAAAATCTAGTGCTAGAAACAATTTTAGATTTTATCAGTATAATGACCCCAGACACTCTGCCACGTTAGTTAAGGAATGGTTACTTTAGGTTACTTTATAAATTATTAATAAATTGCCCCAGAGTTATAAAAATACTACCACAGTAACTAGAGCTTAATGTGATAGAACACCTGTGGGAAAACATTAAATTTCTAGCAAAGAAGACTTAAGATAATATCTCCTCGAAAAGTGAAACAGGTTAAGCCCAGAATTAAAAAAAAAAGTGGTAGAAAATAATGGCTTACCTATAAGGTATTGAATTAAATTAATAGTATTTAAAAGTTAATAAGAAGTGAGGTGTATTATTTTTACTGTGAGGTAAAATCATCCATTTTTTAAAATGTTTTTTTAAATAATAATAATTGAATATTTTAATTGTATTGTGTTTGTACATATTTAAATTGAGATTATAAATAAATCTGTTGAAGAGTTTCTGGTTTCATTTGTTTACTGTAAACATTTAAATCTTTCTTTTTTTCTTTGAGTTGTATCAATTTCAGTGTGAGCCACTGTATGTGTCTAGAAGTTTTGCTTGTTTCCAACGTACTGGTGTTGATGGAGTGAGAGTGCTGAAAACGGTTGTGTTTGTTGTGTGCCTCTGTTCAATATATTATTGGAACTAAAACATTCTTATATTTTTTCTAATAAAAAGAGTTGGTTTTCTCTTAGTCGGGGTTATAAAACAGAACTTTTATCATAACAATTTCATTCTTCTTTTGATCATTAATCTATTAAACCAGATTCTTTGTAACAAACTCTCAAAATAATAAATTCGTTTATACTATTATTGTAAAAATGGAAGTAGATTTGAAATAATATTTTAGTTTCGTGTCTAGATTAATACGACCGGAAATCGATTACAACGTCGGCCTTTGAACTCATGACTAGAATTGAATCTTAGGGGATATGAATTTAATTATTATGGAAAATCATAAATATCCCCAGAATAATATAAAAAATAAAATAAATAAATTAATACAAAGTAATAGAGGAAGTTTTTTTTTAGAAGACAGTTGCAGAGCCAGGTGCGAACACAGATCAACATTTTGCGATTATAATGTCTGTTTTGTTTTTGAAATATTCCTTTGTTGTATTCTATCATTTTTGGGAAAGAATGATATACAAAATTAGGACAATACAATCGAAAAACCGGAGAACTATGTCAGTTTCTGAATGGAAAGCCAAACACATACTTTTGGCACCTGTTCAAACAAGATGGCATGTAGCTCACAGTCATGGAGAAATCGCGACACAATAGATAATTTAAATTCTTACAGTTAGATGACCACGATATGTTCATTTCTGTCAACTGTTTAGAATTTTAAAATGTTATTTTGAATCGTACGGAAAATATCTAGGATATCTTTGAAGGAAGTTAGTCGACTGTTCGACTGTTCATGGGTGATAAATATTCAGAGATGCAGTACTTGAACAAACTCATTGCTCAAACCACGCCCTGAAGATGACCCACATGTTTGGGTTGAAACGTTGCCATAAATAAAAAATTAATTTTTTTTTTTTAAATACTGCGTCCTGAATATTTATCACCCATTCTAGGATATTTTGTATTAGTTGTAGTGTATATACTTTTCTTGCGAGTTTGCCAGGAATGTATTTTATTTATTATAAAACATCCCACATCAAGGAAAAACAGAAAATAAATCCTTTGAAACAAATAATTGTAGTATTTTTTTCTGAAAAATGGGATACTTCAACCTGACAGGATTACTAATCACATCATTTTCTAATACAACTTGAGGTGAATCTCAAATTTTTGCATTATAAACCTCAACTTAATTCATAAAGATTTGAAGCTTATTGAAGAAAGAAGTTTGTCTAAAATTGGTGTATCTGTAGTATAGTTGTATCAAATTTATGATTTTTTTAAAAACATAGCTTAGTTTAGCCGCTCAAAAGTCCTCTTTAAATAGTTTTAACAATGACAACGTTTATTTTCATTTAATGTAAATTTTTTCTAGTTTATAATTTAGCAATTGCTATTTACTTAAATTAAATATTTCGTTAGTTATCGTAGTTAACAAAAAACATGACTTATTTGAAAAACCCAAAACTTGTATTTCCTACTTTTCTGCTTAAAATTGAGTCATTGTTTATATGAACTTTTTTGTAGCTTTTGAGATCTAATATCACTATTATAAAACTTTCCCTCTACTTATGGGACACCATTTATATATTTTAATATTATTTCGCTTTTATTTTTTTGTTTTTAACGCCTCTTGACTCTTTTGACTTCCGCCATTAGTCTTCTCGTAGCATTGGGGCTGTTCTGAGCGATAAGCTGTGATCGTTGATTCTCTCCTTAGGTAGATGATATCCAGGGAGCACGTGCTTTATAATAACCGAACCCGATCATAATCATTCCCTCTTCATCAGAATGGTTGGCAACCTTTTGCATATGTCTCTACCCTGTTGTTGTTTTTTACGGTATAGGATTATTAGCCCTGTGCCCAACCCCCAAATCTGGAGGACCAAAGGAGGTATGTTATTTGACACAGGGGTCGCTCTCACCTTCCTGTGAATCTCAGGGTGGGAACGTTGCCGTCCCCATACGGGAACCGAACCCGCGCCATAGTGGTCTATGCCATTGAGTGGGGACTGCACTTATTTATATATACTTAATTATTTATATATCAATGTTTTTTTGTTTTTGTTTTTTTGTTATTTAATCCAGCGAAGGGGATTCAAATTCGTAGCATAAAATTTTTACCGGCACCTCAACTCACTCGACCACTTATTTATTATAACTAATTCAATCTTTAATTTATTTAATTTTATTTATATGCTTCGTTGTGACAAAATGTAATATAGCTCAATGATGAAATTTAAACAAATATTTTTTCCCTGAAATAAAAAATAATTGAATAATAATAAAATAAAAATGGTCCATTTTTATTTTATTAGTAATGTGGCTGACCGCTACGCATTAACAATTACAATACATTTTCTTTTTGCATTATAACGTATATAATTCCGCTAATAAACGTAAACACGTGTGATGGAAGCAATTTCTTTTTAAATATACCTAACAACATTTTGTTCCCCTAATTACCGTATTGAACAAAAATAAATAGACATATAACTCCCTCCCTCCCCTCCTCCAAAATTTAATTCCGAATCCACTTCTTCCCAGAGGTGTGCCAACTGAATAGAGAACAGAGTCAAGGCAACCATAGGTGTTTCCAAACGAAATTGAAATATCATGCTTGCTGTCGAATAAGATACATCATATATGTGGTGCACAATTCTATTCAAATCTGGACTATTCGTAAGGCTTCATTCACCAACACCTACGACATCATGAATAATTAATCAGCTGATTGTATTTAAATTGTGTATTTAAATAATTAATTAGACCGACTTCAACCGGGGTACTGTCACTGATTTCCTGATTTCGTACCTAAACTGTGTCAGATAACACACGTTGGCTGTAATTTTCAACTCAACAAACTGTTGTGTTGTCTATATGCTATTTACATTTATAACCGTCCTATCTGGTCCATCACTCCCAATTCCATATCTATGCTGAAGATTTCCAAATATACTTGTACATACCGCCTTCTGATCTATTATGAGGTACGAACAACTTTAAGAAGACTTAAATAGAAGTTGAAGTTGAAAGCGG